AGAAAACGACTCCTGAGTCTCCTCTCTCCCTTGGCTACGTTCAGTGCGGGGGAGAAGAAACGGTGGGGAAAGGAAAACGGAGGAGAAATGTCGACGGTACTCGAGGTCAGAGATGAACGTCGAGAACCTCTTCTCCACAATTCTTCACCTCCCCTTCCGCACGGGGAGCTGACTGACGAAAACGAACCAGAGATCATCTCTTCCTCACCATCCGGCGCATCAGAGGGAACGGAATCCACTCTCAAAGGATCAAATCAACGCCTCGTATCTCTCGATGTATTTCGAGGCCTCACCGTCGCGATACGTAGCTAAGAAATTAAATTCACAGTTCAATTTAGCTTTGTTTCAACATCTGATGGTGTTGACTTTTGATCTCGCTTGCAAGTTAGAATTTACCAGCAATTTTCCTGCTATGGATGTATGAATTATTGAGTTATAATTTTGAAAGGAAGTATGTATAGTGGAAGTTATGGCATCAGAAGTTCATTTAATGAAGCACTTGTGATTTGTGAATGCAAAATTCTGGCCCTTAACTCTCCTTATCTTTCCTTTTCTTCTTACAGTTGATGATTTTGGTTGATGATGCTGGTGGAGCTTTTCCATCTATCAATCACTCTCCGTGGTTCGGTGTGACAATAGCAGATTTTGTAATGCCATTTTTTCTTTTTGGTGTTGGTGTCTCTATTAGTCTTGTGCTCAAGGTATGGAATATTTTCATAATGTTGGTACTCGGCTTATTTATATATTTACTTTTTGCAATTCTTATCTCTTTAGCAATCTGAGAATTTTATGTTTGCTTTTGTATAATGTTGAATTACTTCAATTTTGGTTGTCATAAATGGACTAGCCGAAGCACTTTAGGTATTGAGTTCTATTTAACTAAAAAACATATGTGCTGATGGGTGATGGCATGAATATCACTTTGCAGAAACATTTGTATAGGTGTGAATATGTATTATATGTTTATATTATATTTGAAAGGACATATTCTTTAGAGGCAAGTCAAATTAATTACTAATGGCCATGATTTGTGTTATGCTGCAGAAAGCTTCTGGCAAACTGATGGCAACGAAGAAAGTTGTGCTGAGGGCAATCAAACTCTTTCTATTGGGCTTGTTGCTACAAGGTTACCAATTTTCTTTTGCCATTATCTTAAAAAGTGCTATTAATTTCCTTCTGACCAGCCTAGAGTTGAGTGTCAAAGGTTTATCTGTCTTAGATTTTCTTAATAAGCAGTTTTCTAGGTTTTTAATACAGTAAATTCAAACATTTAGCTGCAATTTGGAAGCTTAAGTTAATACATTTTCATTTTGTTTTAGAGTGAATGCAAATTCTCATCTATATACATTATGGATGCATGTTGATCGGTTATTGTTGCAAGAAGCAATCACACGTACTTTAACTTACTAAAGCTGCAATCATTTACAGGTGGAATTGTACTTTTTAATCTTTCGTAATGTACTCTCAGGTGGGCATTTCCATGGCTGTAACAACTTAACATATGGAGTTGATGTGGACCAAATACAGTGGCTAGGTGTACTACAGGTAATATCTTTTACATTGTAATATCGGTGACGTAGTGTGGGTATTTCTCTTTACCTTTTTTCTCATTTATTTTAATCATACCGTCCACCAGATTATCTCTGTTGCTTAGGTCCTTCTGTCTTCTTATTGTTGAGATGAAAATGAATCACTCCTGCGTTTGACTGACTAATGACCATGCAATGTTTCCTGAGTACTACTTCTCAAAAAGCTTGTCATGTGTGCTAGCATGCACGTGTACATTGGCTTAATTTGCAACACTGAATGTAGCAGCTATGCAAATTGTTGACCAAATGCAAATTGCTTACTCCTAAAAATATCAGTTCTTTTTTTTTATTATTATTATTATTTTTTTTTTATTGTTGACAAATTTAGGACTCTTTCAACTGAAAACTGTTGTCCCCTCTGGTTGTATTAGATGCATGAATATTGAGTTTCCATAGGTTTATAAGCTCGTTTTAACCATTCAAGCTGTGCTTTACCATCTACAGAGGATATCAATTGGATATCTACTGACTTCAGCATCAGAAATCCGGCTTGTTAACAATATCATGGTTGACTCTGCAGCAGCATTTGTGAGGAAATACTATGTTCAGTGGTTGGTTCTGTTAAGTAAGATTTTAAAGTTACTTGAATGCTTTGAAGTATCATTTGCTTTCTTTTGAAAATTTTAAACCTTTGAATTGAAGTTAATTGTTAATTTGAATAAAAACAATAATTTTTTCTCATAATCCTTCACTCTCTCTAAATCATGATTTAAACCAGTCTTTCTCTCTCTATATTTTTGTGTGTATCAGAGGGAGTTAACTTTCAATTGCATGTTGATAGATCTATAAACTATAGAGACAGCTGACCCAGATATTTCCTTTTCCTCTAATCATTGACTTAATTAGAGAACATAGATAAGATTACTTTTCATTTAATTAAGAAAATTCAGTAATGGCGTGGCACCCTAGAATGAATAATTTTCAGAGATCTACTTCTCACCATAGAATTTTGAGAGCATTTAGATAAGCTTTGTTCCCCTTTTTATGTTTTTCAAATGTTTGCTTTTTCTATGGCGTGCGGGATTTTTGCTCTCCTACTATTAACATTTTACATGTGCTTGCTGTATGGTCTTTATGTTCCAAACTGGGAATTTCAATCTCCAAGCATGAATGTGTCAGTTTATGGATCTGATACTCAAATTGTGAGTGTAGACCGTATTTATTTAGGGGCTTCAAGTTTCAATATTTTGTGGGTCTGGATTGTTACTGCTTCCGACTTTTTGAGAAGACTGAGTCTTATCATGTGTTTACTAGGTGTGCTGTGAAGTCGGGGGAGTCTTGAACCTCCTTGCAATGCAGTTGGTTAGATTGATCGTTATTTCCTTGGTGAGCAACATCTATATCAGCGTCCTGTGTACAGAAGGACAAAGGTATTTTCTTTGTCTCCTCTATTCCCTTATAGGTCTGCAGTGCCTTTCTCGAACAGATCATGTTAATCACAAAGGGATATTCACCTTTTTGTGACCACAGGAATGCAGTGTTAATTCTCCTGACTATGGTGCCCTACCATTAGATTCACCAGTGTGGTGCCTTGCTCCTTTTGAACCTGAGGGCATCTTAAGGTTAGATGAAACAATTGGTTTTCTCTTAATTTGCCACTTGAGAAAAAGATGTACTGATTGACACACAAACATCGCACAGCACGCATCTGTAAGGACTTCTTCATCATTTGAATGTATGAGGCGCTCAAGAGCTGGTAGAGCTGGCTTTGTCTGCTCATCAAATATCAGAAGCAGTATATATCAGCAAATGACATAAAAAAAAATGTGAAAAGAATTCTACCCCTTCAATTTGGTTATCCCCAAAAAATCTAACCAGCTCAAATGCAGGCTGTGGCTTGCCCCTGCAGAAGTTTGACAAAGTCCAGGTTGCATTTCTCAACCTTGAGAGCTTGGCATGCTCATTGAATTGTGCCAACAGCGGTGGCAAGGCCCCATGGCTAAGTACAAGTTCACGAGATTTAGGAGAGTCTCCGGCAACATTTCCTAGTGCCCACAAAGCCTATAATTGAAAAAAAGGGAATGATTAATTGACTAATACCATAATAATATCAAGGCATAAAGACAAGCAGTAGGCCACTAGCAGATTGCAATCTTACCTGTTCACGCACATCATCAGTTGGAGAACCTAGAAGTTTAACAAATATGGGGACAGCTCCATGATCAATGACAACCCTAGTGTTTTCAGATGTCCCCGACGCAATATTTGTGAGGGCCCAGGCAGCCTCAAACTAAATTATACCCAAAAATAATACAAAGAGAAAAAACAGACAGAAAGATGAATCAATCAAAATAATGCAAACACATCAAAGATGAAACAAATTAACCAGTGACGAGTCAAACCTGAAGCTGTGGAAAATCATCCTTTGCAAGGAACTCGACAAGGCGAGGAACAACACCAGACTGTACAACTTCATTAATGGGTGGGCAGCGTTCTGCATACAGATTCCAAGTTAGAAGTTAATACTGCACTTGTGAGCAGAATAAGGGGAACATAATAAGAACAAACGCTCAACCTATTGACAGCTGTGCGTTAGAAGTTAATGCTTCCGGAATTGAGTAGTTGCCTCAAGCTGTGCGTTACCATCATCCGACCAAACACCCGCAACCATAGCCGGGAGACTTTCTAACTGCAATTATTCCAGCAATACATTATTCATAATTGGTTTCATAAGATAAGACTATCCATTGCTAAAATCAATATACTAAGCTACCAGAATCAATATCCAATCAAGAAAATGCCCATTAACTAAAAGGGAAGAATATATATATGAATTTAGTAATGATAAACCCTAATCATCACTCATGAATCCCACCGATTAAATTGACAAACAGGCTACTTCAAAAGCCAAATAAACCAAGAACCTAGCAATAAAACAGTTCATTATCAAACAAGAATAGAATACCTTCTTATCGGACGCAGATGTGGCGGAGAGGAGTTGCTGTTGCTGGTTTTGCTGAGCAAGAAGGCCTTCGCGACGCTTCTTGAGCAAGCTCTCCTCTCTCTTATTCTTCCGGATCTCCACCATGTT